TCAAACAAAACAAAAACAAAAATATGAAGGAAGAAGATACCTTCCCCTCCAAAACCCTCAATCCAAACACACCATTAGTCAGCTTCACCATCACCTCGTTCATCATGGAAGAACTTTGATTTGTTCCTTTATTATTATTATTTTCGTAAGAGCTGAGGCAATTGTATTTAGTCAGCTAATAAAGAAAAGCTGCTCGCGAATCGGAGGTCTTTCCCATCCAGAGCAAGTGGCCAAGGCACTTGCCCTAGGGTAAGACACCCTCGGATGATGATTGATATTAAACCCTCGCCTTCGTAGAACTTGTAAAAGTATGCATTCTTCAAAGAGCAGTAAAAATTAGGACAACATTCATTAAAATTATCAAGATGTCTAATCCCTATATTTTTGTCTCCGTTTAAGAAAACTAAGATAAGGCAAAAAAAGCAAATCAGCTTTTGTAACCTTTACGGTGCTAAATCAATTATTTAATTTAACTAAAGCAGAAGCACATGACCCTGAAATCTGCTTGGTTGGCTGTACATGACTCTCTAATCTACTTTAAAGTCGATTTTTTTTAATTTGTCGCAGGAGAATTTAGTTTAAAAAAATATTTTTAAACATTCTTCCAATCAGTGTCTGAGTGTGAAAAAAAAGGTTAAACCTCTTTTTTTATCCCTCAACTATTATATGGCCCACTGATTAAGTCCCTCAATTTAAAAAAATCCCTGACTTGGTCCTTATTGTTTACCATTTTTACCCCAATTTGGTCATTCCGTTAAAAATCTCTCCACCTGTACTGTTAATTCATAATAAGATGATGACATGTCAAAATTTTAACCCACGTGGAAGACAACATGGCAATAAAAATTTTAAAAATTCTTTCTCCTTCCTTGTCCTCTTCTTTTCCCTCTTCCTTTCTTGAACCCACAGCCTGGGATCATCGAACCCAAGGAATGGGTTCCTTCGAACCCAGCTGGGCATTCCTCATTGCTTTTCTCTTTCCTCATCCTTTCCTTCTGCATCATCATCATCAAACAACACCCACAAAAACGTAGAAATTTTTTATTTATTTTTTTGTCAAAGAACCCAGCGCGTGGGTTTGATCAAATCCAACAGCAGGTTCAAAGGAACCTAGAGCCTGGGATCGTCGAACCTAGGTGATGGTTCTTTCAAACCCAATGCATGGGTTCGTCGAACCCAGGCAATCTAGGTTAGATCGAACCCAACGTTAGGTTCCAAGGAACCTAAAGCCTGGGCCTGGATTTGTCAAACCCAGTGCCAGGTTCCAAGGAACCCAAATCCTAGGTTCATCGAACCCAGGCAATAGGTTTGAAGGAACCCAGTTGGATTCCAAGGAACCCAAGCCTGGGTTCGACGAACCTAGTGCCGGGTTCCAAGGAACCCAGAGCCTGGGCCTGGGTTCGTCGAACCCAGCGCCAGGTTCCTTGGAACCCATCGCCTAGTTCCAAGGAACCTAGAGCCTGGGTTCGTCGAACCCAGCTAGATTCCAAAGAACCCAAGACTAGGTTCGTCGAACCCAAGGAAA